ATAAATTACAATATCTATGTTGACTATTATGGGGTTAAAAGGTCATTAATGTGACCAAATCGCTAAATTGTTAAGTTTAATGTTTCGTTTTATTCGATTAATATTTCTATGCCGAAAATTATATTCATGCCGCAGTCTAACTTGTGTTGCTTAACAGTTTGTACCTCCAATACTTTCAAGTGTGCCATATCCCTTTAGAAACAACGTCCGGATGATTATTGTACCACCACTTCCACCGCCACTAGACGATCCTTGATTACCTTCACCATTGCATTTAACACTGCCATCAACATGGAAACGTCCTCCTGTATTAACTTCTAGCCAAGCTCCACCAGCACCACCCCCTCCACCACTACCAGGTAACTTGGGTGTGTATAATGACCCATACTGCTTTCCCGAACTTGCACGTCCTCCTGCAGATGCATAGGATCCACCTACGGAGCCAGTACCACTTCCAGGTCCTTGCCCAGAGGGAAAACCACTTCCTGTTCCATCGATGACTCCTCCACCCTCTATAGTAAGATCACCACCATGGATAGTGACATACCTAGTTTTGAGCAAAAGCGTTCCACCTAAAAATGATAAAAAAGCATTGTGCAAAATATATTAAACTAAAGTAATTGGATAGATGGGTAAATAGATGCTTCTTGCTCTCTTATGAGTGGGTACCATTTGCTGATTCCTTCTGTTCTTTGCAGGAGTCTATGCTGTCTATGCACAAATGGTCTTAAATTCTAAAGGTCAAAATTAACAGGAGAAACAGGCTAGCCTTTTCAACATATGTTTTTTAATATATATATTACCTATGTAATTTCAGATAATATAATAACACGAGAGCAGAGGGATAATGGATTAGTCACGTCTTTTTCCACCCACCTTTCTTAACTGTTGTATCACCAATTAACAAGAAAGCTTTAACACCAGAATAACTCACTCTCAGAACCCCTTTGTTTGTGATTGTAACAGATGGAAATATCAACATGCCAGGTGTAAACGGTTCAAAGGGATTATCAAGATGCCAGTTGGAATGAATCGGAAGACTAGCAGTATGAGCGGTGCTTGAAAACTCAATTAAACCTCCACGTTCCACAACTAGTTTTTCGACACCTGTTATTCGGCCTACAGTCACAAAAATAATGTACTATATATAAATACACAAAATTGTATAATCATTACTTTGCATATGAAATGCTTGTATCAGATCAACTAATTATCTGATACTTTCTTTAATCATCACTGATGAAGGTCTGAGCTCATACGAAATAACTGTTATAAAACTTATTAGATGTAACCCATGACTTTTCGAAAATGAAAAATCTTAAATTTACAGAGATTCTAAAGAAAAATAAATAGAATAGTACATAGTTTGAAAAGGAAAAACGATTTTAAAAAACATATTACCTTTTATGGTTGATGTTTCGCCTATGAGAACCACGTGTGTTGGGAAAATGATCTCAGCATAGTCATCCACAAAGAACGAGCATGGTGCATCCATATATGTATGGGTGGACTCCACGACAAACACGAACAGCCGTTGCCTTCGGGTAAGTTTAATAATTCCTGTTTTATCACCAGTCACTTCATGCGCTATGACGGTCACATTTTTAGCTTTTTTGGGATGATAGAAAACAACTGTGGCGTGATTTTCAACCTATTTTAAAAAACGACGATATCCTTTATGATAATTTTACGCTATAGCAAATAAATAGTAATGGAATACTTTCAAGAATTGCAGCGTTAGGCCTGGTAACTAATACATATATTATATACCATGATGGTGTGTACATATTTGATTACGAAACAAATACGATACCGATGCTGCATAAATGCAGTAATAAAATATTTGCATGGCATTATTTGCTGAGGAGGAAGTACCGTTATTTTTGTGTTTTCATCTTTTCAAACCCTAGAATATAAGAATATACCTATTCTCTTTGAGAACTCATCACTAGCTGTGATATCTAAATTGAGCTTTGACAACCTTTTGACGACTTAACGAATTTAACGATGGTACGTTAATCAGTAGTGGCCATCTATGAAAGTCATGAAATGTAACAAAAGACCCTAATATTCTCATTCTTATTTTTAGTTTTACGTACAGCCTTTTGCAAAAATTATGAGAATTGTTGAAATATCTAAATATCATAATATCAAGTGCATGATCCCGCGCGATGCCCTTAGTCCCTTGTCTTTGTTGTTTAGCTTTTTTGGCGACGGACTTATCCGTAGNACTTGGTTTTGTTTGGAAAAATGTGGAAGATAAGTAAAAACATCAATTATGTTCAGAATCGAAGCTTCCGCAGCTACTACAATGTTATTCTACCCGTATTCTAGAGCCCATGGTCGTTATAACGCAGCGGTTGCGCGCATGCTCATGCATAACGGCCTCTTGTTGACAATATATGGATATGGATATTATGATATTTAGATATTTAAACAATTCTCATAATTTTTGCAAAAGGCTGTATATGTTAATACAGAGCATAAAACAAATATAGCTCTGACCTGCATCTCATCAAATTCATAGGAAACTGTATCATCTTCCATTATAACAGCATGAATTGGAACATTGACATCTTCACTGTCAACTTTAACTTTGGAATGTTGCGGTTTGAAGTACGAAAAGTTGCCATTTGGGTTGTATTTCAGCTCTCGGTACTGTGGGCCTCGCCTGCTTTCATATTTATATACTGTTCCTGCAGCGCCAGCAAGTGACATTTTATTGCTGCGACCTCCAACAGACCGGAATACACCTAGAAATTCCACAATACAATCTAATTAGTGATGAAAACGTACTTTAAATTCAAGGTAACTATAATTATACACCTAAAAATCAAGGTATTTCAGCAGTATATTAAGATGATCGCAATAAATTATACTCTGTTCTTCTAAAATAATCAGGTGATGATTGGCCTTAAAAAATACGGCCGCCATCTTAAATAACATCGTTTTCTTCGACGTTTTTGGAGTTTGTGTCTGGAATATTCAACAATTAGACCACTCGGTCTCAGTTGATAGTCCATTCGGCCGTATCTTTTAGTATCCACCAAAGTAAAGGGTAAAGTTAAGCGAATGCTGTTAACAACAATTTTTGTCTATAAAATCTCATTGTAAACAGGAATAATTATGTTCAAATTTAATATTCTCCTCAAATTTGAACATAGTTTTTCTCTACATCCTTTCGACTATTTTCGCTATATTCGAAGCGATCATGGTCTATCATGAATACATGAATGTACCTTAACTTGGTGGTCATTCGGAATACTGGTTTGTAATACATAGTTTGGTGGATAATAACAATGATTAGAATCAAACAACTTATGGTATATCTCAAATCGCGAATGAAGAATTTAAGGAGTTTTTTTACTAAAGAATTGAAAACAATTTGAAATTTTGATTTTGAGACTCATTTGGACCWGCGACTAAAGTCCGTAGTACTTGTCAAGCATCAGGCCTACTTCATGTTTAGAAAGAAAGCGTACTGGTGGATAATGATATTTTCAATCAAAAACTAGCTGGGAAAAGTCAATACAGAAACATTTAATATATATTCATCCTAAAATTTTGATGTGGAATTTTCAAGAAAAAATGAACAGCTCTCAAGAAACAGCTCTCAAGAAACGAGGTTCCAATGTCCAACTCGCAACCGAGTTCATTCTTGTTTACAAACGAAGATGAAAACTTGACAAGCATTCAAATGTATTATACTACTATACAGTTATTCAATGAATAGTACTTTATAAATGTTGACGTTCTATTTATGAGTTTTTTGTGTGATATTTCCATTTGATCGGTTCTAATTGTTAATTAGCAAAAAATCTCCAGAATTGTCTTTACCTCCATAATTGTTTTGGAAGTTAACATGGATACCAATGCGGCCGCCCGAACCTCCACCACCGTTAGTCTTACCAGCACCGCCATTTACATTAATTTCTCCATGTCCAGTAATATTCATTACATCAACTAGAATACTGCCACCACTTCCTCCCCCGCCATAATTTCCCAATGCTTCTTGCCCACGCGCTGTTATAAGTCCATCGAGGTGAAGAAATTTACTGACATCCCACAACAGGCAACCACCGCCTGCAATTGAGAGGTGACTGTACTTAATAAGGAACTCTGATCTGCTTAATTAAGCTTGTTCATTTTCTTAATGGTTATGCAATGCATTCATTGGAAAGTAGCAAAAAGATGCATACTCTAGTTAGACAAATGATAATGAAAAGGGAAAATACATTATCGAATGTATCGAATGTATAAGGTAAAAATAGTAAAGAAGAATAAAACTGAAAACGTTGCTTAGGCATGGTGTGTAATATACCCCCCCCCCCCCCCCGAAATACTAAATAATATGCTTGGCCTTAGAAGCCAAGTCGGGTAAAAGTCCAGAAATTCGCGGAAATATTAATTTTTCAAAAGTGAAACTTTACAGAGAATTGCATTATTGGGAGGTATAAGGCATACAACCAGCCTTATATTTTCTTTCATTAAGAAAATGTATAGTATATCTTATGGAGCTTCAGTGGATCCTACTGAGCTTCTTCGAGCTTTTAAGTAGGTTTTACCCTTAAGAATTTAATAGTCCAATTTTCAATTAGGCTGAATATAAAAATATGCCAATGAGCCTTGCATATTTTGAAAAGGGTTTATTATCGAATGAATACCTGAGCCGCCAGCGTTTTGAGTTCCATTYCCGCCACCACTTCCAAGCTCGCTGGGTTTGTAAACGGAACCATAAGCCTTTCCATTAGTGTGGCCATTCGAAGAAAGCCCTCCCTGTCCTCCATGACCAGCACCTGAGCCATATTGTCCAGGAAGGTCGTCWGGGGTACCAGGTCCTTTAGCACCAGCATGACCAGCGCCATCTAGCCGTACAACACCATTCGTTTCGATCATAGCAAAAGTAGAGTAAAATTCAGCATGATTTACAAGAACTGTTCCTTTGTATTGAATCTCAAATAAGGTCGAAGTTACAGACAATGTGACTCCTGGTTTTCTTACAAGATTTAGTAATCCTCCATTTTTGATGATGAGGTGTGCAAACGAACTGTTCCCAGGCTTAGTAATCTCCACATAGGTGCGGTTTTCTATGATTGCTGTTTCAGCAGTGTTAGATATCGTCAAGCTGGCACTATTTTCAATAAATAGAAAGTGCACCCCTGTTAGTCGTCCATTTATTACAGATCTTATACCATGTACGTGAAACTCTGCTGGTACGAGAAGCTCTCCACCTTGATCAAGGAAGAAGCTACAAGGGGCTTCAGTTCTATTGGTTTGAGATTCGACGACTTCGGCGTAAACAATTTGATTTTTCCTTATATGTAGCTGACCTGTTCTATCCCCAACAAAACTATGAGTCACAAGAGTAACATTCTTGCTGTCTTTGGGGTGGTATATTAACAAACGAGAATATCCAGTTAGGACTAGCTCGTAAAATTCGTAGTAGACAGTTTGTTCTTCCATGAGCATTGAAGCACCAGGGACATTACGCCCTTCGTTGTCAATGTGCAGAAACGTGTTGTCAACTAGGAGAATCGACGTGTTGGCTACTTTGTTATACTTAAGATGTCGATACTCTAAAGACCTTTTGTTTTGTTCCCGATACATTGTGCCTGATGGACCGCTTGAGGAAAGATTAGCTCCAATACCTCCATAAAACGATAGTTTTCCAGCGAAAGTGAAGCGCCACCGACAGTGGATTGAAATTCTTCCCCCTGCTCCAGCACCACCTTTTCCAGTAGGCCTACCACCCTCAACCGAAATGGTACCATGACCAGTCATGTTTGTAGTTTCAATGAGAATGCTGCCTCCACTACCACCACCTGCATTGATTCCTGTTCCATTTCCACCTCTCGCATATAGGTAACCATTTAGTTCAAGTCTTTTGCCAACTTTCCAAAGTAGTTGCCCACCACCATGCCCACCTTTACCCTGACCATTGCCTCCACCACTACCAAGTACTTGTGGACGATAAACAGATCCATATGGTTGACCACCATTTATTGCACCCTCTCCACCATGACCTGCACCTGTTCCAATGACTCTTCCACGGAACGTCAATGTCTTCCCAGCACCGGGACCTGATTCGGAGGARTAACCTGTTGCATCCACCAAGAGGTAACCATGACTATTTAACCAAGCAAATGACGATAAAAGTTCCCCATGATTCATTTTAATAGTTCCCCCGTATTTGATGGTAAGCTCGTTGACAGTAACTTTAAGAAAGTCCGTTATCTTTCGAAGCTCGATAATGCCATTACGCTTGACTATTAAGGTAGCAAAAGACACATTTCCAGGTTGTGATACATCGACATATACACGATTTTCGATAAGAGCTGTTTGAGTGGTTGAGAAAATTGTAACTCCAGCACCGGATGCTACTCTAAAGTGATGAACTCCAGTCATCAAGCCTGCAATTTCACTTCTCGTCCCATGCATGCGAACTTCTGCTGGAAAGACTATTTCTGAGCCAATATCAATGCGGTAACTACATGGTGCCTCGGTTATATTAGACTCGGATTCCACTACTTCAACAAATATCTTTTGATTTTTAAGTAGGTGAAATTGACCGGTTTTATCACCAACGAACTTATGCACAACGGCGGTTACATTCTGGTTATYAGGATTATATAGAAGGAGTCTAGAGTTCCCTGTCAGTTCCATTTCGTCAAATTCATAGTAATGTGAACCTTCTTCCATGACCATTGTAGCTCCTTCAACATCATATCCCGCATTGTCAATATGAATATATCTGTGATTAACTGTCATCAATGTTTTGTTCAATCGTTTATTGTATTTCAAGTCTCTATATTGCAAAGGTCGATTGTTTTCTTCAATGTATATTGTGCCAGCTGCACCTCCATATTTACTCCCTTGTCCACCATGATCTGTCAGTTTACCTCCATATTTATATCTCCATCTACACAGGATACCAATTCGTCCTCCTGAACCACCACCACCAAGACCTGTACCAGATCCACCTGTTACAGCTAACTCACCATGCCCGGATACATTTGTAGCTTTGATCAGCATGCTTCCTCCGCTTCCACCGCCAGAGTTTAAGCCAGTTCCATTTAAACCTCTATTTCCTATAAATCCATTAATTTCTATACGCTGACCAACATCCCAATAAAGCTTGCCTCCACCGCGTCCTCCAGTACCCTGACCATTTCCCCCGCCACTTCCAAACATGTAAGGTGAATAAACAGAATTGTACGGTGATCCTCCTTTAGAATTATTTGTCTTTCCTCCCTCACCACCATGACCAGCACCAGATCCAATATCATGCACAGTATTTCCCCTACCAGTTCCCTTTTCAGGACCAAACCCTTTTCCGTCTAAGAGTAGCTTCCCTTCACTTTCAATCCATCCATAAGCCGAGTAAATTGAGCCATAATTTATGGTTATCAATCCTTCGTATTTGATTCTGAACTCAGCACATTTGATTACTAATGGGTATTTTACTCTTGTAAGAGTTAACGTTGATCGACGCTTAATTGTAACGGTGCCGAAAGAAAAGTTCCCCTTTTCGGCGATTTCAACGTAACGCCGATTTTCTATTCTTGCAGTTTGAGTTGAAGAAGAAACTTCCAGGTACCCTCCTTTTGCAATTGACAGATCATGGACTCCTGTGACTCGTCCATTTATAATTGTTCTCATCCCTCTTATATCAACAATTGAAGGGAATATAATTTCTGCATCTTCGTCAATCAAAAAATTACAAGGCGGTGACGTTTCGTTTGTTTCTGACTCGATAACTTCAACGTAAATAACTTGATCTTTGCGAATGTGAAAGCGTCCGGTACCATCTCCGAGGAAGCGGTGAACAATGACAGTTACGTTATCAGCTGCAGGTGGATGTCGCACTTGTAAGTTGGAATACCTGGTTAAAAATAATTCTTCGAGCTCGTATTGGACATGCTCTTGTTCTAATAGAAGAGTATTTAAACTTGTTTTTCGGTTGTCACCGTCCACTTCCACGTATCGATGAGTCGCAACTATTTTTGTTGTGTTGGTTAATTTATTGTATTTTAGAAGAGCATACTGGGGCCCACGAGATGTTTCTTCGACATAGACTGTTCCCGCGGCTGCTGTAGAATTGCCATAACCTCCATATGCTTTGTATTTTCCAGAAAACTTGTGACGAAATCGAATGTGCACAGCCAGCCTGCCACCAGATCCACCAGAACCGAGATCATTCCCATTTCCACCCTGAACATTGATCTCTCCATAGCCAGTTATGTTGGTACACTCAATGAAGATACCTCCACCACTACCGCCCCCGGCATTAGTACCAGAACCATTCATTCCTCGCAGTGTTATTAATCCATCAAGTTCGATTTCCTGACCTACTTTCCAATACAGCATTCCTCCTCCCGATCCACCATGACCTTTACCATTTCCACCTCCACTGCCAAAGTGCAAAGGACGGTACACAGAACCATAAGGATTACCACCGTTCACGCCAAAAACAAACCCTCCACCTTGTCCTCCGTGGCCTGCTCCCATACCCGCTTTATTTTTTGTAATTCCTTTTCCAGGACCAGATTCATTATTATAACCTGTGCCATCAAGGACAAGGCGACCACCGCTCTCTAACCAAACCCAGGAAGAATCTATAGTTCCATGGTTCATATTAACGAGACTGTGAAATTTGATTCTGAATATCAGAGCAGTAAACGTAAGGGAGTCAGTAATCTTAGAGAATTCTAAACGTGATCCTTTTTGAACATATACTTCTGGAAAAGTTATATTACCAGGTGTAGTTAGAACTTGATATGTTCCATTCTCTTTGATTCCAGTTTGGGTYGTCGACGAAAATACAACATCTGATCCCTCAGCAATTACCATGTCGTACACGCCAACAACAAAACCCTCAAAAGTACATCTCATTCCCAAGAGTGTTAAAGACGAAGGAAAAGCAATCTCTGCACCTCTTTCTACTTTGTAACTTACAGGAGCAACTGTGTAACCCTTTTGTGACTCTTTGACTTCAACAAACATTGTTTGGCCACTTCGGAGGTGAACAAGCCCAGTGCGATCCCCAGAGAACTTAYGAGCAACCAACACTGCCTTGTCTCCATGGATGTGAAGAATGGCATAGTTTTTAGTTTCGAGGTCATCTACTTCATAGTATGTAGTGTTTTCATTGATAATAATAGTTGCAATATCTGGGTTTCTGTTTTGGTTATCGATGATCAGTTTTGTATATCCATATCCATACACTGTCTGGTTATCAGGTCCTTTATTTTTAAGTTCTGGTCTATGTGATAGACCCTGATTGGTATCTGTATAGTACACAGTGCCACTAGCGCCTGCCTTAAATCCATAGCCGCCAYATGCCATATATAATCCAGCATACTCTCTTAACCATGACACATGAACAGCTATTCTTCCACCTGCCCCACCACCACCTTTACCCTGCCCATTGCCTCCATGAGCTGTAATATTTCCATGTCCAGAAAACGTAAGTGTCTTTATGAAGATACTTCCTCCGCTACCACCACCGCAATTCGAAAGACCGTCACCACCATCATTTAGTATCAAACCGTCGTGATGAAATGATCTCGAGATGTCCATCTGCGAAAGGCAAAGAATCATATCATTAAATCATAGCAAAAATGTTACATTATCAACCAATACGCCATTACTTGTCTACATTGTATCATCATCATCATCATCGTCATCGTCATCATCCTCATCATCATCATCATCATCATCATCCTTATTGAACCCTAGTCTGGAATGTACTACGAGACTAAAAAGCAACGTTTCGCTGTTAAAAGCAACACACAAGAAATCATCRTGTTTGAAACGTCAAATGTACCTTAATCGTACTTCCACCTCTTCCTCCTGACGCTCCCCCTCCGCCACTACCTGTATGAGTTGGAGCAAAATAAGAGCCATAACCGTTGCTACCGTTACCATACATACTGGGTCCACCGTATCCGCCATGCCCAGCACCAGATCCTACTCCATTTCTTTCTAATCCAGGCATTTCTCCATTTCCTGCAGATGGTCCTTGTCTTGAAGTGGTTATATTTGCACCTCCCTCTATTAATACTTCAGCGCATATCATATTAACCGAAGAGCCGGATATCAAAGTACTTTTTCTCATGTGGAGTGTGTCTGCTTCCAGTTCAATCTTCTCCTCAAAGAAGAGTTTTGATCGTGCTTCCATCACTAGAGCACCATAAGYTAGCTCTCCRTCTACAGGAGTTTCTGTGTAGTTTCCTCCTTTAGTTAATGCAGTACTTGCTTTTTTGCCAACACGAATAAGCCTACCTTCAGCTAAGGTAAGGTTAGACACACCCGTCATTCTGCCATTGAATTCGATGGCAGGACTTTTAAGTCCTGATACATGGAAGTCAGGAACAAGGAAAAGCTCACCATCATAGTCGAGGATAAAGTTAACTTTCGGGAAGGAACGTCTGAGTGTAACCTCGTCGTATTCGATATAAAACTTTTGATGAGGTTGAATGTGGATAGTAGATAAACCGTCGCTGATGACTGTATGTACGGTTATTGAAGGATGAGGACTATAAGCGATCTTGAACAAGGCCTAAGATTTAAAAGAAAAATTCGACTATTATAAATATAGTACATTGACATTTTTCGAATGTAGACACGTAAACATAATATCAACAGACATATGACATTTCCAGATAAAAATATCCATACCTCTCCTTGAAGCATAAGTTCATCAAATCCATAGCTTGCGCTGTTTTCTTCAGTAGCATTAGCTCTAACAGTTCTTGGGTTCATTTGGTCCAAAATGAAAGTCTTGACTGGTTTGGCTCCCTGGTTATCAATATACAAACGACGATAGAATTTCTTACCAACAGTTTCTTCGACATAGATAGTCCCTGAACCACCATGCTGGTCACCAGATCCAACTCCTCCAAGGGCATAAAACCCACCGCGGTACTCATCTTTTATTCGAATGTACACTGCAACACGACCGCCAGAGCCACTACCTCCACGAGAAGACTTATGAATGTTAGAAGCAGCCCCACGAGCAAGAACTGAGCCATGTCCTCTCATATACCCGGTTTTAATCAGAACGCTGCCACCACTACCACCACCACTGCCTAAAAACAAAAACAAATTATCCATTCCACGAAATGCCCTTAACGCTACTTTGATGTTAAGACAACAATAGTCATTTGCATAATATTGTTTATAATAATCCCTGAAAGGATTTCAATTTAAAACTCTACCTATTAGTAAATAGCGAATGAATTGTTAATGACATTGTAATGAAGCTTTGCAAATTATGTTGAGYATTCTTCAAAGTAAAAATGTAATAGTTGCACATTGTTTTGTCTTTATAATTTCGCAACAATAAAATGTAGATACTATACCATGAAATASACTGACTATTAATTGACTTTTATCATTTTGTTTTTCCACTATCAAAGCTTACGAACAATTCTTTAAGTAACCTCAACAATAACCATAGCATTTGTCTCTTTTTAGTTACATTTTTCCTCTTCATACTCGTACTGTGCAATAATAAAATAAGCCGAAACAGAGTATAAGCATCATTTACGTGATATAAAAATAAAGGAAAGTTATAGTGCGTGGAAGGAGGTTATACAAGGTTCTAGACCATTGAAAATTAATTCACCGGAAAGATAAATTTCCGAGGTCAGACTGCTAGCAGTTCGGGGTCATTTTCGGTCATTTATGGACTGTTTGATTTCTTACCAGAATTAGGAGGAACGTCGTCCGCATCAGTATTTAAAATTCCATCAAGAACAAAGGCATAACCAACGTCAACTCKTATACGACCTCCGCCACGACTTCCAGCACTCACAGGTCCCCATCCTCCACGTGCGCCAGGAAGAATAGGCTCGTATATTGATCCGTAAACCTCGCCACCGGAAACTGATTTGCCACTTCCACCAACTGTACCACAGCCTGCTCCTGAACCACCATTTGGAGAGTCTTTGCCAGATCCTTTAGAAGCCTGCGACGTGAAGCCGCGTCCTTTGCAATATAATACAGCATCAGGTTCAAGGTAGAAGTCTGTAGCATCAATTTCAAAGTACTCTGCAGTGAAGCGACAATTAAACTTGATATCCTAGTCAGAAGAATAGAAAACAAAGTGTTAAAAACATGAAGTCGTTTCAGCGCACATACGTTGAATTGATACAACTACTGTCTCACATAACTAATACAAAAATTGCAAAATTTAGCTTTGTACAATATAAAGGGATAAAAGGGATTCCTGGATATTTATTTTTAACTTGATGTCATGATAACGAATACTAAAAAAAATACCCGATATCCCTCTAATAAAATCATTTAATTTTRATTTAATTAACAGTCCATTTACAAAACAGCTATACGTATCCACGTTAAAGATATAGAAATACAGAAATTCCTGTCYGATAGCCGGTAGACCGAGTGCGTGATTTGAACTATTTACCCTAACAATTGTTGGGAACATTATGGAAAGGTAGTAAAGTCCCCGTAAAGATCTCGAATAAATCTGACCTACCAAAAACCCCGACGTTACGTGTACGCCCATGGGTGGTGGATAATTGATTATTGTTCCACTACCGAACTCCAATGAAGAAAATGTGAAGCTTCCGTCTGGATCGATAAACTGGTAACGGCCATCCCTAATAKCAGCGGTATGAGCATGCCAGTCGACCTCCACTCGTCGGCCATGTGCAATGCGAAGATGGCGTACATTGATAAGTCTTMCATTCCAAGAAAATGCCACTTTACCGAGGCCGATGATATTTACCGTAGTAGCCATTATTGCCGCAGATCCATTGTCGAGTTTAAAGTTTGTTGCAGTCCTTAAAGYACAACATATTAAAAAATGAAATGATTGCACATTTATCAACAGCACGAATGCTAGTGACCCTTATAGGGTCCTTCCTCTAGAAATTGACATATGAAGCCATACGGTGTTATTAAAGCAATGCAGCAATGTAGTACTTACATTGAGATTAAAAAAAGGATTTTAAACTTACAAGGCCAAGTATGGGCTTTTGCCAACCCTAACCCTAACCCTAGCCATACGGTGTTATTAAAGCAATGCAGCAATGTAGTACTTACATTGAGATTAAAAAAAGKATTTTAGTTAATCTTTACATCTGTATGTACTAACCTTGTAATAGTGTAAGACGTCGGTTTGTATTCTGCCTTTAACAYTTGACGTCTGTGTATATGGACAAGTCCACTTCGATCACCAACAATTTTATGAATAGTAAGATTGAGAAAGCGGTTATCAGGTATCATATGCAAAGACGCATTGCGTATTAGACTCACTTCATCAAATATGTAGGAATTTACATTTTCGTCTAAAGTCAAGTAGTGGTCCCAAGGCCTTTTCTTGTTGTCGATTAATAGTTTACGATACACTTGCTCATTTCTAATGTCTTGTACGTAAATCGTACCAGGGCCGCCAGAGTACTTAGTTTGGGCTTTTCTTGAGTCTCCAGCATCACCACCTAAGGATGAATACACACCAAGATACTTGTTTTGAGTGTGTCGATTCAGTAGTGCAATACGTCCACCGGAACCACCACCGGATGACAATCCATTTCCTGACCCACCAGCAGTTGTTATGCTCCCATGTCCACTAAAACGACCCATTCTTATCCAAATACTTCCTCCACTTCCTCCTCCAGCGTTGGATCCTGGCCCTGCATTTTGGCCGTTTGATTGAAATACCCCATCCAAATAGAGTTCGTCTCCTACGTTAAAAAATATGACACCACCTGCCTTTCCTCCATTGCTGTTTCCAGGGCAACCAGGAGATCCGTAGTCGGTTGGACCGAACAGCGTACCAAATGGTCTTCTAACAGTCCCACCATGTCCTTAACAGGAAGAAAATGGTAAGTAACATACTTATAGCGTGCGCGTCTATAATCGAATATGTAAAATCTAACAAGAGACGACTGGTTAACTGAAGATAGCAGTATAGCATCAATGATTTGCGTAGCAATGTAAAACCAAATAATCACAATTTTATAACCGCCGGGTGCGCACAAAAAATTAGATTTAATTAAATTTAAAGTTTTTTTTCTTAAATGGGGAGCATTGGTTACTTGTAAATGAGCTATATAGTCGCTTTGCGACTATTGCGATATCGTTTTGCTCGTGAAAATCATCCCTCGTCATCCCATGAATTTTCCTATAATAAAAGGATTGCTTGAGAGGTCGGGAAAAAGTTTAACAATAATTGTTCGAAAGAGGCAAAAGTGGAACATCAAATAACCGATTTGGCGTTTTGCAAATGATGATCCACCTTAAAGATTAAATACCTAATTGGTATATTTATATGAGTTTACGACCTGAAGTTCTTCAATTGACTGGAAACCCAGTAAATATTTTTATTGTTATGTATGTGCACGTTTCACGAGTCGTGATTTATAGTAATAAGAAAACCTCAAGCTAGCATTTCTGTTGAGATACTTACCGATACCACCTTGACTTCCATAGCTTCCTCCAGACCCTAAACAAGATCCTGGTATAGTAGGGCCAATGCTTGGAGTCGGCCTGTCAGGGCCAGATGAGGTGATTGTACTTCCTGACTCCATTAGAAGAGTTGTAGCACTGACGTTGAACCTATCTGATATGATCTTAGAACCATACTTCATGTGAAGAACACCAATTACGGCCTGCATTCCAGCAGAATGGTTAAAAAGAAGTTCTGCTCCATCCTGAATCTCGAATCTGGCTAGTATAAACTCTCCTATCTTACTTACAAAAGGCTTACCATCAATTATATCTGAGGAATGGGCGTTACTTGCAAACCGTACTTTCAAGGCTTTTGAAATTACAAGGTTAGCAGCATCAGTCATGCGACCGTTAAGAGTAAAAGAGGAATCGCCTAATATTTGCCCAGTGTTCTTTGCACCATCTCCAATAATATACAGAGATGCACCAAACACCATTTCTCCTCCTTGATCTATTCGCAGATTTACAGCTGGCTTAGAAACACTGTGARCTGTTTTCGATGCTTCTAGGTAAACGATGTGTTTATCTTGGGCATGAATGAGTCCAGTTCTATCACCAACCAGCTTGTCCATCCGTAAGACAGTTTTTTTATTTCTTGGMGCCATGGTTATGGATGCACGTTTCCAGATTTGAACCTCAGAAAAATCATATGAGTCCATCCTTTTTTCGTCCAATACTACAGTATCATGCAGCGATCTCATTAGATTATCTATTCGTARCGTGGTGTATGGAAGTAGGGCGCGAATATCTTGTATAAACAAAGTACCCGGTCCACCGTGGTTACCCCCCAATGAAGTGCCACCGTAGGTCAGATAAAAACCTCGGTATGAATAGCCATGTGTGTATATTGCTATACGGCCTGCTGCACCAGCACCACTGTCTTTGCCATCACCATTTCCCCCATTGCTAGTTATCAGTCCAGATCCTATTTTAAAAATGCAAGAGTTCTTGATAAAGTAAAAAAAGGTTTCGGAAAAGTACGGATTAATGAACTTACCTACTACGCTGAAGTTTTAACATAAAAGCGATAGCACGTAAACCAAGATACAAAATTAACAACTACAATGGTATAAACAGTTTTAGCTGTTGCCTTTTTCTCTTTTTGCATTAATTGTTTTTACTATACCACTGATCTATCGATTGTACAGTCAGCAACATAAAGCTAAATAAAAAAAGTTAGAGGAATGTGTATTTTTTTCATGTATCATCTGTTCTTTAGTACTGTTTTTGTATTTTAATTTTAGTATTTGTTTCCTGGTCTTAGTGTTATCGCTTTATACAAAAAAGTAGAGTAGATTTCGAGAAAACATTCAACTCACCTTTAAACAATTTCGTTTTTATTAATAAACTTCCTCCACTTCCTCCGCCAGCACTACTTCCAGTCGAAGCAGCTCCACCAGCTACGGTAATGGTCCCGTCATTTATCACTAGTGACCCAGCTGTTATATTTATAACCCCGCCGGCATTGCCGCCTCTAATACCATTGATTCCAGCTCCTCCGTATTTACCAGCAGCATTAGGGTGAAATAATGAGCCATGGTATGAGCCCCCACCACCACCTTTTCCACGCCCTCCCGCTGTTGCATGTCCAGCACCAGCTCCCAAGGGAAGAGTGGATGTTGCATGCGGCGTTGCTGCTTCTCTAGCTTTGTTATCTCCCGAGGCACTCAGCAGACCACCTGTTTCGATGTCAATTGTCGATGCGAGAATTATAAAGTGAAATGCAGATAAAGAAGCATGGAATTTGACATTAAAATGTCCAACAGCAATATTCATGACACATTCGTCTTCCAAAGTAACAGTGCTACCACTATAAAGTTTAAGACTCGATAGCTGAAAGCTACTCAATYGCTTTTYTTGACCTGATGAATGCGAACCTTTATTCAACTTTACAAATCTACTTTGAGTGATATATAAATCAGTCACACCTGACACTGTTCCGTTAAGCTCAAAGGCCACTGGTGCATTTCCAACAACGTAAGTTTTTGGAGCAAGAATAACTTYCCCTCCACTGTCTACTCTCATGTTAATAGAGGGTTTGGTGACAGCCATTTGGGCTTCGATGTAAACACTGTGATTTTGATAGGCATGAATAAGTCCACTTCGATCGCCAAACAATCGTATTATCTTTAACTGTCTATGTAACTGGTCAGTAAAAAGTCTGAGTGAGGCATTTCTGTAAACGTACAACTCGTCGAAATCACACATCAATGAACGCTCTTGGAGAGTGACGTAATTATCCCAACTTTGACCACGATTATCAATGTGAAGGTGATTGAAAGTCAATTTATTTCTGATTTCTTGAATGTAAACTGTTCCTGGACCACCAGATTGATAGACCACAGACGAAACACCACCAAGAGCTTGAAGCTTACCAATGTATGAATATCTGCTACTGAGATGTAATGAGATTCTACCACCTGAACCACAGCCACCAGAGCCATCGCCAAGACCACCGTCAGCTGACATCGTACCACTACCTTTGAGTGACTTCTTGACTGTAATGAAAACGCTTCCTCCACTTCCRCCACCAGCATCTGAGCCGCCAGCATTTCCACCATTTGAACTTATTGTCCCATCATTCCAAAGAAAATCAACTATGACTCTAATTACACCACCGCCTTTCCCTCCCGTGAAAGGAATAGGCCCATCGCCTCCCGGATTCCCTGGCTGATATGGCCTATAAATCGTCCCATACGATGTTCCACCAGCTTCTTTGACATTTGATTGGCCACCAGTACTTCCATGTCCTCCRCCAGATCCCCCTTTTATAGAAGATTTCCCTTCCCCTCGGTATCTTTTTATTACCACTACATCATTTGTCAATAGGGAAGCACCTCTCCCTATCAACAGCTTTTGAGCTTTAATATCTATAAATCTCCCTTTAAGTACAACTCCATTTTTAAGGTCAACCGTCCCAGCACTTAAGGTGAGATTCTGTGGAGCACCGAAGTCAGATCCACTTTTCAATGTCACTGTTGCAAACTGCTGAGTACCTGGTGGGCTTAGGAAAATAAACTTATCTCCCTTCATCAATGCAGTTTGCGACGTGATACCAAATTGAACTCGGCTATTTGATTCTACTACAAGATGTCTTACGTTGGAAATTCGACCATCTACATTGACTGTTGCTCCATCGACGGTAACATTGGAAGCAGCGACAAGATTACCACCCTCCTCTATGTGGATATTCGTATTCATGGTCAAGTGTGTTTCTTTGGACTCTAGCACTTTAGCATACATTGTTTGATCAGCTTTAATGGCAATCTCTCCMGAACCGTCAGCAATAAAATCATCGACTTTGATATAAACTTGATGCTTTTTCGGACTAKCAATTTCAAATCGAACGCTTCCAAGAATTTTCAGCTCATGAAAATAAACAGTTTGTGAGCTTGGCTCAGAAAGGACAGTAGTTTGTGAATTTCCTGCAAATTTACGATTTACTAGCCATAGCCGTTTTCTTCCAAAGCGATTGATGTCGTCATTGATGTACACAGTTCCTGCTCCACTTGAAGAAGCTCCTGCTCCTCCAAATGTCTTAATGGTTCCTTCAAAACCAAAGGGAGTTTTCACGTAAAGAGCTATCCGTCCTCCACTGCCGCCTCCACCACTCGATGAGCTACCACCAGAACTGCTTATCAAACCATTGCCTTTTATTTCAYTAGACGATATTGATATGCTACCTCCACTGCCGCCACCACATCTAACATCGCCGCTGTTGCCATCCGCATTTATTTCTCCATTGATAAGAAGGGACGTCACCACTTCTAAGTCGAGATACCCTCCACCGCTTCCACCAACTCCAGAGGAGCACGAGCCTCCTCCACTTCCAGAAATGTTAGGCTTTAACGCTGACCCATACCAAGAACCAAAGTTTCCTGATGCGATGCCTCCATATCCACCGTGACCTGCTCCAGTACCAGTCGACCCAATGCGGTATCCAGATCCAGGTCCAGATTGACTTGTGTAACCTTGACCAGATAAATCAATCTTACCACCTGGATTAACTGTTATAGTAGAGGAACGGATGCTGAGCCAGCTACCGAGTATCTTGGCATCATAGTTTATTTCAAGGGTTCCGATAGTGAGAGGGATTTCTTTAAGACGAGCGTTTTGAAATGATACTGTTCCGTTTTTCTTGATCTTTAGAAATGAAAATCTATATTCTCCGCGTTTAGTAATAAATGTGTATTTTCCATCTACAAATCGAGCAGTRCGGGCTGATGAAAGAAATTGAGTCTCCCTATTGACACCAACAATGAAGTTAAGCACACCAGTTAGCGTTCCTGAAAATACGTTTTTATTACCAAGGAAGGACACCGTGTCAGGAAGCCTTATTTCTCCATCACGATCGACTTGAAAGTTACACGATGGTTTTAGGAGGGCGGATGTCGGTTCAATTTCTAAGGTTACATTATCCTGAACATGAATAGTGCTATCTTCATTACTTATGAGCTTATCAACGAGAATGTCTTTATCTAGGTGTAAAGTAATCTTTCCAAGCAGTGTGAGGACGTTAAAATGGTAGGAGGTAACTCTTTGATGTCCAAGATATGATGGGACAGAAGACGTTCTTTGGCGATTATCAATTAGGAGTCGTTTTGAAAGAAAACCTGGACGAACCTCTTCAATGAATACTGTTCCCGGAGACGCACTGATTGAGTTTGATTGCCCGCCTTTAGAGGACATTTCACCACCAAATTTATATTCACAATTTACTAGAACAGCTACTCTTCCACCAGCGCCTGACCCAGTTGACAAAAAACCATCTCCACCATTTGCTGTCACAACTCCTCGTCCTGAAAAGTTCTGTGACACACTAACGTTGACACTGCCGCCRGAACCACCACCTAGTCTGTTCATACCATTACCGCCATTTGAAGAAATGTAACCATTCAGAACTAACTTATTTACTTCAATTTGAATGATGCCACCTCCAGAGCCTTTGGTTTGATCAAGGTCAGGAATACCACCTCCTCCACTGCCAAATTCTGTTGCTCTGTACAAAGATCCATAAATCTTGCAATTGCCAGGACTTCCACATCCACCATAACTACCTCCTGAATTACTTTGGGCACTACCAGAGCCAGGTCCTTGATTGGGTCTATTTCCTAAGCCATTTGCATGTACCGTCCCATTAAATGCTACATTTAGATGAGGTGTTTTCACGAGCAAATGTGGTCCTTCCATTGTCCCACCAAATCCTACATCAACAGAAACGGATTGCACTAGTACGGGAACTTTATGTTTTAGCTCTGTTTCAAATCTTATTGTCCCACCACTGGACACTTTTAACGATCTGAAGAAAAACTTCCCAGGGAAAGCCTCTAAAGTTCCAATCATTCCCGTTTTAGCAATGACAACAACACCATCATTTGCAACATTAATCTCCTGTCCTCCAACGAGTCTTCCAGCAAGATAAAGAGATGGCTTTGTTTGAGTTTTCGTAATAAGTATTTTAGGAGAAAGATGGAGAGATGCTCCACTGTCCACTATCATTGCCCATGGAAACATAAAAGGTTGAGGTGTCACTGCTTTAGTTGCGCTAAGAATAAGAGTCTGATTGGCCAGAACATGAAACTTCCCACTTCCATCACCATCTAATTCATTCACCTTGATTTTCATTTGGGTATAAGGTACGTTTGCAACTTCTAAGGTGGCGCCATCAACAAGCCGAAGTTTGCCAATGAAGTAAGAACTCTTTGTACCGTGCATTATTTTTGTTTTTGACGATGTAATGTGCTTGTTATTGTCAATGACAGTAGTATTTCGTGGTATTCCTACTATGTATTCATGAASAAACACAGTTCCCGGTGCTCCATATCGTCCACCACTTCCACCAAATGAGGTTACCATTCCCTTAAAAGTGCTGAAGTGTGTTATGTACAAAGCAATTCGACCACCAGCCCCACCGCCAGAGGAACTATCAGCGTCACCGCCATCTGTCTTAATTTTCCCATGACCCTTAAGTGAATTTGCTTTGATCAAAACGCTACCRCCACTACTACCTCCTTTTCCACTTTGCAGTCCATTTGCATATATAAATCCATTAAGTGTTAATGTGTCTTGAACATCAATAAGTATAATGCCTCCTCCTCTTACTACATTTCCACTGCCAAAATGTTTCGGCTCAAACATTGAACCATAAGCTTTCCCACCATTGACGCCACCTCCTTCTCCTCCATGACCGCAGCCAAAACCGGATGTGATTGGTGTTCCTGGGCCGTTCTTTAAACCGCCACCAGAAGCGTCAAAGTTAGCACGGCTGTCTAGAACCATGTTCCTTGCGGTTATATTGAAGAACTTTAACTCACTAGTTGTTGTCAATCTCGAATTTTTACTGAGATATATATAATCTCCCGTGAGAACCACATCAGCRGAAACAAAATTTACTCTAGAATTGGGGTGTAACACCAATGACTCTATTCTTTGTAAAGCGTCTTTTCTAATAAGAGATCCTGGACGCATATTCAACGCAGCTCTTGATCGAAGCGTTATATTGCTTGCTCTGATTTCACCTGACACGTCAACTGTAATCGCTTTTGTTTCGGCAAGGACAAACTCAGGTACTGACAGCAAACCTGAAATTACGGTATTACGACTGTTGGGGCCTTTAAAAACAGCTCTTGTTTTGAATTGCATTCTACCTTGTGTTTGAATTTCAATATCGCATGTTACTTCATGTCTTGGTCCATTCACGAGATCTATCATCAGTGAACCCTTAGATGGAACAATCATCTTGCCTGTACCATCCGTCACTAGCTTTTCAACAGAAAATGTCCGTGGACCGACTGAAAAGGTAGCWTCAGAGGCTAATCTTAGTTCATCAATAGAGTTTTTCGTATAGTTCAGTGGCAAATTYGTCGGTGAAGTCCCTTTTCTTTGAATAACAAGTACATCATAATTATTGTCTTTGCTTGTGTCTCTCAACAATATCGTACCAGAGCTTCCGGTAGTTTTCCCAGAGCCACCACTGGCATCGTAATATCCTCGAAATAATGCAATGGTGTGCTGTGCATGTAATGCAATACGACCCCCTCCACCACCACCACCTGAGCCTGTGCTTTTTCCACCATTTGCCTGAATAGTTCCTTTTCCGAGGACTTGCTTTGCTAATATTAAAACACTTCCTCCACTACCTCCACCTGAAAGATAGATGCCTGGTCCTCCATTTGCTCTTATAGTTCCATCAAGATTAATTGATTGTGCTTCAATCTTAAGCGCACCACCACCTGCTCCCCTATGAATTAATGTGCCACCTCCGGCAGAACCGTAATCAGTAGGATAAGTAACACTACCATACAGATTGTTTATATTGCTATCGCCACCACCATAGCCCCCGTATGTACCACCATACGTGGAAATTGGCTGACTGTGCATACCAGTTGCGACCATTGCTTGTAAAATTCCGCCTGAAAATATTGTAAGACTTTTGACTTTGATCGAGCCCACAATGTCTTTGTTCTTAGATGCCTCAATCTGCATAACTGCTCCGTTATGGATTTCAAGTTTCCTGTAACTGTAATTACTTGCTTTGAACGTACACGTTTGTCCAGGAAGTAGAATATAATCAGTGTAATCACAAGCGATGTAATATGTCACATTGAATCGTGTTTCATACTTGATTTCATAGGTGATCCATGTAAATAGCGAAGACACTCTGATCAATGTACCATTTCCATTATCCACATCCTTCCACACTACTTTCTGCATTGTTTTTGAAATATTATGTTGGACTATGTACGAGATGTTGCTTTTGGTGTAAATGTGCTTTCCTGTACCACAAGGATTGAACAGTGTCTTGGAAGCTAATGCAATCACTTCATAACCATGAGGGCAATCGTTTCTATTTAAAGGTGTTCCAGTATTGTACGAGAACATCTTTAGTGCAGTCATGGGAATTTTAGACGAGTCATCATAGTGCGAGCCATAATCAAACTGGACAACTTGCGCATTGACTTTTACACGACCCGGTGACTTTGATAGCAAAGTTCCATCGGCCTTTACATGAAGTTYTTCAAAAGAACACGTTGACATTCTGCCTTGAGGAAAAGCGCGGTACCCAGTATGTCCCGGATAATTCAAGGAAAGTTTTCCATGCATGCTGACAATAAGTTCTTTAACACCAACAAGGCTCCCTGTTAAAGTGATTTCATTTTTTTCGCCAATGACCAGCTTTCTAGGAACGGACAAACTTCCACCGGATCTTACATCAATACTAAATGGGAGATCAAGGTGTTTAAGATCCACACCGGTCACTCCTATATACACATCATGGCTTTGCTGTATAGCCATGGTCCCAGTGCTATCCCCACTTACATACTTGRCAACCAAGGACATAGGACGTCCAGAGCTACATGATCGCATGGTAAGACAGGCTTTTCCTTTGATGTTGATTTGGTCAACAATATAATCAATTTGGTTYTGTTGGCACAATATGTAAGTATACAAAAGTTCATTGTTTGTCGCTAAACCCCCGTTATCAACAGTCATTCTGGAAAACGTGCTCTTTCCAACGGATTTATGTTCATAAAGTAATCCTGAAGCACCCGGCCATGCACCATTGCCACCAGACAATAGGATGTTCWCAAATGGTGTTGTGTCCTTGTGATATAAAGCAACTATTCCTCCACTCCCACCACCTCCAGACGTATAACCTCCGTTGCCGCCTCTGACATCTATAGAACCAATACCATGAACAGAACTGGTATGAATAAGAATACTACCACCTGCTCCACCTCCACTGCCGCGGCTTGCCCCATCTAAACCCCTTAAAACAAAAACAGGTTAACCATTTAGTTATAGGACAAGTTTCGGATTAATCAAAATACATACACCTATAGTAGGATCTCATTGAATCTCTTTTTTTTTTTTTC